TTTACTTACTCCTCTTCTTTTATATGGAGGTATACAAAATCTTCATGCCAATGAAGACTATTGTGTTAGTAGAGGAAGTGACTGTATATGTACATACCTACACAAAAGACTAAGTAAGAGGAACTAAAAGTTGATTTCCTTGAATGTTATTTTCAACTGATCAAACTTCACTGTATGGTCTAAATTCGGAGAAGTGCACCGACTGTTATTATTGATCTTGCATAACTGCACAACATAACGAATTTTAATGACGCGTACCAGTATTGTACTTCCATGTAATTCTTTTCACCTTTACCTGCATATTATATAAATTACCGCGTCTGAATAATGTTTAAATCCCAACTCCATAAAGTCAGGATTAATTGAAAATTGTATAATTTGGCCCAATTTGCAGCCTAATCTACTTAGACTTGACTTTTTAGTAATGTATAATTTTAATGGTTTAAACCCAAACTGATATCTCTCCAGTTTTCTTATTTCACTTTCGAATTTCACTTTCTGCTGCCCTGCCCATACACATAAAAGATTAACCGTTTTTAGTTAACTCGTACAAATAAGGAACGTGGAAATTACAACTTTTCAGGTAGGTATTTTGCCATAGGAAATATCCATAACTAAAGTGCGGTAACTATTAAATTCCACAAGATGATAACGCGGGGAAAGTGTGACGATCTAAATTACTGGTTGAAAGAAAAAAATATATTAATTGGGGTACTTAATTTGCCATTCATCTTTATTAAAATGGTTAACCAATTATTATTGAATTAGTGTCAATTATCCACAATTTTATAATTTACAATCGTTTCATGAAATCAATCCCAGGTTATGTTTATGCCTCTAGTTTGAATTTCACTGTAAAATTAACCCTTGTAGATTTTGACCTGTGGAATCCAAAACGTTTATAATTTTCAATAGTTATAAGAGAAAAATCTGATTTCCACATAAAAAGGAAAGGAGGTATCAATTTTGGTGAAAAAAATTCAACGAAATGTAGCAGCGCGTAGAATTTTGTTTAAATAGATTTTGGTCCATAATTTTTGATGTAGTGGCCCAATCGATACGAGACGTTTTGGATTCTACCAACCAAAATTTACCAATTTCGTAGTCGCCTGCAAATTTTGTTGTAAAAATGACTTGTCCAAAATCGGCCGAGAAAAAATTGTTGACCTGTAGAATCTGAAATTTCTTTTTTTCTGAAACTACCTAAAAAGGGTGAAGAGAATGATTTTTCTCTCTAGTGACGTAACTAAAAAACAACTGCTGCGTTAATCTGACATTCTCGTATCTAGATTGCTATATGTCAAACTTCATTATTGCTTACGATAATGTTTCAATTTTGATTGTACTTTCAGAGAATATTATGTGTAAAACTTGAGAAGAAAGTGTTTTTCATTTAAACTACAATAGTTATTTGTACAACTAGAGAAGAAAGTGGAGTTTTTCAACTTGAGTTTAAAGGCTACGCTCGTGTTTCAATTGAACGAAAGTTGAAAAACACGTTCTTCTCAAGTTTACCATGTAATTTTTCCTGAAACTACAATCGAAATTGAAAAATTATAGTATGCAATAATGAAGTTTGACACATAGCAATCTAGGTACAGGTATGTTTCAATTTGAAATGTCATTATTAAGATTAACCAAGCAATTGTTTTTTACTTTCCTCACTAGAAAGGAAAATGATATTTTCTTCACCCTTTTTAGAGACGAAAGTGGTTGTTTCTAAAGTAGTTTCAGAAAAAGAAGTATTGTTTTCTTGTTATCTTATATATTGTTTTTTTGCGATATTTTTCTCCAGTCTTCTTCAGGTGAGCGAGAGGGGAAAACTAAGAGGCAAATGCTCTCGAAAGCTTGCCTTTTAGTTCCCCTCTCGCTCACCTGCAGTATCCGCGCTTAGCATTGGGACCCGCAGTCTATTTTCATATGTCGATGCTTTTTTTTTGCAAATTTAATAGTGAAGGAGTGAACAGCTTAAATTTTGAGCATAATTATAGTCACCTCAACTTTTTACGGTCTACTCGATATCGCCTCGGACTGTAATTTTTGGAAGGCCGCCGGGACATTTTTTAACCCGAAGGGCATTACCTCGAACTGGTAGAAGTCGCCATCGAGAGTTGAAAATGTTGTTAACGGTCTTGATTGGAGATACAAGGGGGGATGAAAACGTCTTTTTCCGTGTGGTTGCCGAGAGAGTACCAGATGGTGGAATATCCAATGATGTTCAGGCAGCGATGCGGATCTATAACTTTGGCGGTAGTTTTGAGGCGATGTTCGATGATGGCGACAAGGTCGTCTAGGATGAAATTGTGTATAGACCCCGAGTCGAGTTGAGCCTGTGCCGGCCACGGTAAGCAAAAGTTGTGGTAGGTCGGCGTTGGATCCGGAGCGGATTGTTGGCCAGAGGTTCCGGTCGTTCCTGCCGCTGGCCCGTTTTCCTAGGCGGAGTGACGTACTGGACAGACCCGATGGAAATGATAACCCGGACAGAAACGGCATTTGTGATCATTATGCGAAGGTGCATAATTGTGCAACAACCTATTGTCCATCTCATTATTGGGTTTAGGACAATTCCCCGAAAACAATTGACCGAAAACAATTGCCCGAATACAATTGACCGCACAGACAATTAATCGAACGGGCAATTCGGCGAACGGACAATTCACCGAATGTACAATTTATCGAATAGACAATTTACCGAATGCACTGTTAAACTGGGCGAAACGTATTCAGGTTCCTAAAGTAGGTACCCAAAAATTATTCAATGTTGGAATGCGTTGTTTAGCTCAAACTATTGAAGTTAGCTTAATTTTAATTTTGTTTGTTTTCATTGAATTGAGAATTGAGTTAGATTGTTTGGGTGGTGTTTTTACCAATTGAATATCTCTATACTTTCAATTTCTTTGCCTTTCTGTTTAATTTGGTTTTCTTCTAAAGTAAAAATAAGATTATTGTGTATATTTGTTTATTATTACACATGCAATAGAAATAGGAGATATAACTCTCGTTAGGAAAGATTGCGCTTCTTCGGGAAAGATGTCGGAATCAGTAAGTTGATTAAATGTCACATTCGCTAGCGCTACTGGAACAAATCCTAAGGCTGATAAGTATCGAAGGGAAGCAAAAAATAGGAATTCTTGTCATTCTGTTTTGTGTTCAAAATTAAATAATGTATAGTATGATTCGGTCAATTGTCTATCGGTCAATTGTGTGTTCGGTAAATTGTTTTTCGGTCAATTGTCCGTTCGGTGAAATGTCCGTTCGGGCAAATGTTTTCGGTCAATTGTCCGGAACCGCTCATTATTATCTGTCTCGATGCTGCTGGAAAAATTTTGATAGGTCGAGTTTGAAGTTTTGAGTCCACCATCAGTACGATCTTGTAGGGGGCTACCAGATTCTCCCTGTATCGGTACCCAGTTCCGACGTCCCGTTCACCAGATTTCGCATTTTGACCGATTTCGTTAAAAACCCGCTACAAAATAGTACGCAATTTTTAAATACTTCTCATAGCTGGAGCTTCTATTAGCGACACGATAAAGAAAGACCGTGATTAGAGCTCTAAGAAACTGTTGGGCGTCAAAAGTCGACTACCCCTCGAAGACGCACGTCTTGCAAAAGGTGGTTAAATTCGCCCCTAGGAAAAGAAACAAAATTCAGTAACGCAGGAGTTGTGCGCGTTTACAATATCTTTCCGACGACACCAATTTGAAAACAATCGGGCTAAAAAAAGAAGGAAACTTTACCAACTAAAAAAGGATGTCTTCTTCCAGTCAACCTGCGCCAACAATCTTTTATTTAGCTTGATTCTAGAGGAAAGGTTAAAATTGGTTGGACAGGTATCTTTATTTATTGAGGGTAGATTGTGATAATTGTAAGCTGTATCTGAGAGGAACATGGAACTATAAGAATAAAATGGTTTCATTCTGAAAAGCAGGAAATAAATTTAATTTTCACACAATTAAAAATGTCATATACCCAGTATTATTATTGTATAACGTACACTTATATCTTTGTATCACTTTGGGATTGGTAACATAGGTAACGAATAACTTTGACAAAGGCAATGTGCAATAAAAGGATAGTGCTAAACATCTAGATAGTCAAATCTACACACGAGAATGTAAAAAACTGTAAGTAGAATTACAATGATACTTAAATATAAAAATTCGTCATAGACAAAGCGCGCAAATAAATAAAAACATTTAGTAATGGCGTTTTAACATTAACAAACAAACATAACAATTTCTAAAGCATACAAACAATTTATGCGGTAACAGACTTAGAATTTTGAACACGCAACAATTTTTTTCTTTGCAAGTTTTACCATTTCTGAGCGATATGAAAATTCTTTAGTATGGTCGACTACTACTTGCAATATCAGAAATAGTAAAAACTTTTAAATATGTAAGCTTATTCTATCTAAAGGAACCTTAAAAAATTATTAAATATAATGTAAAGATACTAAAAAATGTAATATAAAAATAGGCAATATTAAGTATTTTAGTAATACAAAAAAAGTCATGTGAGGTCTTATAGTTACTATTATCACTTTTGGTTTAATTGTCAATACATTTGAGTACTGCACCAATATTGCGTCTATAACTTTCCAAATAATTGTGATAAAGTACCTAGTGATGAATTTTACAAGCCAAAGAGTTGTGCAAGCACTCAAATATCGAATAGAAAATGACTAACTTAGTTCTATAAATCACTCGGGCTTTTGGAAGAATTAATGTTTGTAACCTTTGGAATATGTCTACCTATTTGTATAAAATGTCTTATTAAAAATTTAACAATGATACACACTACTATAGGAATTTATCTCCATGAAGTTTACGCTTTTGATTTCATTGGTCGTTTTTCCAACGTTTTTACGTGAACTGTTTAAATAATTCAGATGTCAATTTCGAAAGCCATAATCTGAAGCAATAATGTTAGATAACTCGAAAAATTAAGACATTTAAAACGTAGGTTCCTACACTGTTAGAAGGAAGTCGGTTCAAAAAGAAACAACTTGGCAGGAAATCAAATAATTATTGTCCAGGCATGGGTGCTTGTGAGTGTTAGCGAAAAACCTGTATGTGTAGGTGTAGGTATGGTAAATAATGGCCAATTCCTAAAGTACTCATTCGGGATTCATAAATTCTCACCGTCCAAAAACTTGTGCGTCTTACACTTACGTATCTAATAAATCTATCATATCCAACCCAAATAAAAATTGAATGGCAATTTAAACGTGGATTAGCTCCACATACGTTTAGGATGAGATGAATATTAAAAAAGTGTAAACTAAACAGCAAACACAGCCATTTGGAGGCACAAAAATAACTTCGCTTGAAAATTAGATATTTCTTGGCTTTCTTAAATTAATGACGGATTGTTTTTTAACTACAGGGCACTCATCTCACTATCAAAGTTTAATGACTAGAAAATGTAGTAAAAAAATGTACATGAATTTACAAACACATAATTGTTATCAGACTTTTTGCTTTAAGTATTGTTATCCCAAACAACACGAAATTTTGTGCGAGCCCGGGAAAACATTTTGGATGTCCACTAGGAGGCTTTCTGCTTTTTTCTAATTTCACGTCGTCTCTCCGCCTCCATCGAAATAGACGGCTTGAAATCTCTATAATCCAACTGCACACAAAGATTGATTGATTTTCGGCTCATACGCGCGTAGTTTAAAAGTGTACTTACAAGCATTTCGTCATCGGGGACGCGTGATAACAGATCTAAGACTTCGTTGTTCGGCACAGAGTGTGGTCTCATAATCTTCCTTAGGAATTTATTCAAACCCCACAGCATCAACAAGTATCTAATTGGCACAAAGTACAATACCAAAGTTGCGCCTACCAACAAACCAACAGCTATCCAGGAGAGATATGGCACTGTGAAATTAAAAATACTGAAAGAGATAAAGTACATATTAAAATGCATCGAATTCTTCCTGAAAATAAGCTAATAGCAAAAATTGTCAGAAATGTACACAAAACGTGTTGGTAAGAATCAAGGCGGGCGATTTCCATAAGAGAAAAAATGGTTTTATTGACCCATTTCAAAGAAACTCTGTAATTTACAAAATATGTCCTATGGTAACGTAATACAACATAAAGCCAAATAAGACTTGTTCTCAAACTGTGTCATGCCAAAGCATTAAAGGCATATATCGCAGCTTGACTAGAAATAAAGTTTTCTCCTACTATCTGCGTACTGTTAATGGAAAAAGGATACCACCATAAGCGCTTGGAGGATGGTATACCACTGAAAGATGACCCATCACATTCTTTGTGGGTGCTCCTCCATTTCAAAGTTAAGGGAAAGTTTTGGTCAGGCATAAAAAATATCCCGTCGCTACGTCCTCAAGTTTGAGTGGGGAGTGGCTCAAGTACCGTGTAAGAGGGACTCTCATATGAAAGCTAAGTGCGTGTGGATCTCAATGAACCAGCAGATTTAAGACTTACTTTTTAACACCTTCTCCCAGACTGGCTAATCGACCAATTGTGTTTTGAACAGTTTGGGTAACCTCCTGTATCGCTTGCAACTTTTCCTTCAAACTTTTCTTCTCTTCCTAAAAAATTCAGTACGGTACACCGACAGACAAGCCGACCCACCTTATCTTTATCGTCTTCATCATCATCCTCTATGTCAGAATCGGTAGCCTCATCCCAAGAGACATTCACAGGAGCCGCTATAGTTTTCAGAATGTACTGCTTGACAAAAATTAACAATCCTACTGCCGGTATCATCCACACTTCAAAGTAATAACAAAGCACCAACCAAAAAAGTAAACCTATCAAGCTCTGCAACGTCGACTCCCACTCGAAGCACCCTCTGCAATAATTAACAATGACCATTTCAAATTGTGTTACATGAAACTTACTGGAACACCTTCCCAATCTCATAAAAATGTATGATGATGCTTTTAAATCTCATAACATTCTTCATAAAAACTTGGCGTTTGAATTTAACCTCTGGCTCCATTAGTTTAACTTCCTTCGGATTAAGGGTGCGGATACAAGCCCGAATTGGATTCCAAACGACAGTCATCTCCAACAGAATTTGGGGACAACTTCCTTTCGCTCTGCTTCTAAGCTTTTTATCCTTAAGCGAGTACCACCGCTTCTCCCCACTCTTCACACGCAGCAATGGAATCGCCACTTTGCCAAGAAATTCGACCTTATGATCACGGTCCTCGTCGAAGACCGTAATTTCCAGAACGTTGTTAATGTCTTTAATATTAAAGGTGAATATCTTCTGCCAGGTCGGCGTGAGCGTTTTGTACTCGGTTTGGGTTTGCAAACGTGCGTTTCCCAATTCTACCACGCAAAACGGATCGCTTTTACCGCCCAAATCGGCCGATGCCAGCCCGCTGGCTTTGAATACCTTGACTGTTAAGTGACCGATATCTTTAATGTTGTGAAATGTTCGTTGCCATGCCTGAACGTGGAATTGGATGAGAATGAGAGCTTAAATGTTGGATGGTAGCTTACGTAACGTGCCAAAACAGCCTCCCGCTCCCGAGGGTTTTCTTCGTACAGAGTGAGATCGGATATCGTTTCCGATGCTGTCGTTCCACTTATTGTCAATAAAAAACTTAGCGAACCAGCGCCGTCTTCAAGTTCTTCACTGAAGTTATGAGTTTTTTCTCGTTCAAAACTGGACAAGTCGATTAAACATCTGAAAATAGAAAATGAACGAATATTAGTTTTGTTGATGCATAAAGTAATTGCGAATTGCGAACGTTGGCAGTTTATAAAAATATGATAACAATGCAAGGAGGTCGATATAATATATCCAAAGGACGTTTTAGATTAAAGAGGTCACGTTTGATAGAAGGAGTATTTGTTTCACATGTACCTAAGCTTTATAGGGGGATTAGAGGCGTAATTAAATTGTGGACTGGATCCCGCTTCAAAATGGAATGCGAAATGTACCTAGGTACCTACATAACTTAAATCGCATAGCGATCTTGAGAATTATTTCGGTTCAGTTATTCTATTTAAGAATGTAGGATTAAAAACCAAGCACTCAATCGGCTAGTCAATGGTATAATGCAAAAAATGGTTTATTTGGGAAAATTGCTAAGTTCCATTGTGCATGGTAACCATTCACTAAGGCACATTTCATTTAGTGGCCGGAATCGATTGTTATATTCTTTTAACAACCTGTGAAGAATGTAGTAAGAGAGTTTGAAACTGCTTTCATAAATAACAAAAAATATATGACGAACCCCTAAGAACTCTTTAATAATCTATAAAGAATTATTTTCGCTTATTACATTTTTAAGTGTGCGGCATTTTGATTTGCTATAAAATTTGCGTACTTGCGTAGACGTTCGCTAGCAAACCAAGTTTCTTTTAAATAAATATATGCAAAACCAGTTATGTATTTCTAAATCTCTATCTACCACAAAAAAGTGCTTAAAATCATACTACAATCTCCAAAGGGTCTTCAGAGATTACTTGATCTCTGGAAAATCTCTAAAGCATCTGTTAAAAATCCCTGCTGGATTTCTTAGTGATATTCTATAACTAATCTCTGAAGAATTTCTGGAATATTCGTTACACTGCCCCCTTCTTAAAACACGGACGTTGTTATATCGTTTTAAAGCCTTTACTTGTGGATCTAATTTATTATAAGTGTTGTCTTCGTATAAAATGGGATAGCTCTATAGAGAATAGAATTCAAACTCATGTAAATTACCTACACTGTCTGTAGTTCAGCGCCATGTTTAATGGTATAATTGTGAGTTTCATTAAGCTTAGCAAATTTCTCAATGTTTTGTTTTACAAAGAATAATGTGCTAAGTATGTAAATATAGGATAACTACATATATTATTATTCTAAAACAAAAAAAACTACACGAATCGCTTTGAATATATTTCGAAATTAATAAAGAATCTATTCAAGGCTACACTGTTTTCCCAGCATATATATGATAACATACTTGATGACGGATTCAAAGCATGTATATTAATAGTTTTTTGTGATGCCAAAGGCACGAGACAATTCAACTTCTTCAGTGCAAAACGCAGGCCTCTTTCTTGTCCTTGTGAAGGTGGTTTAAGGATCACGAGACAATTCAATTCAACTTCTTCAGTGCAAAACGCAGGCCTCTTTCTTGTCCTTGTGAAGGTGGTTTACAATGATCTTCCAAAGATAACCTAGGGATTTAATGTTCTAAACTTTTATCAAGGGAATATATTGGCTACAAACTATGATGAAAAAAATCCACTTAACCCATACTGGGTATATATGTTAGGCGCAAAGACCGAAAACGGCCATTGAGCGAAAAAAACGGCCACAACGCGTTTTGGGTAATTTCAATTGACCACGAAGCGTTCTTGACGTTTTTTTCGGTTTGTGGGCGTTTAAAAACAGCCACTTCGCGTTCTGAATAATCTAACTGTACCATTACGCGAATTCGTGTTGCGGCTCTTAACTGTTTTCAACCACAACGCGTTCTAAAAATACCAAATATGTAGAACCCATTGTGTTTTTCCAATAGCTACGACGTGATTATTAAACATTCAGGGTAGTTTTTGTGAAACGGGAGGAAACTTTTAGCTTAGGAACCACAACTTACAGAGAGCTACTTACAGAGAGGTACATACGATTTTTTGATACTATCTCTTCCTTGCGTAAGTGTTCTTTATTTATTTTTGCAAGAGCTGTTGGAGTGGCATTTTGAGTTACATTTCACGTCTTTGGATTTGCACTTGCACTTTTTGTCGCTGCAGTATCGCTTGAAATTGCAGCTGACAAACCCCTGTGTGCTTCCCGACGATTTCCCTGAAGCGGTCCTGATGGTTACGGTATTCGTTGGTACGTCGTTCTCATCCATGAACGTGTTAAACAGGCGTGAACTCGTTTCGAGAATAAAGCCGTTGAAGTGTGGATGTGTGCTTAAATAGTCACAATGGGTTCTGAATATTTACTATTTTTTAGAATGCGTTGTGGTTGAAAACAGTTAACAGCCACAACGCGAATTCTCGTAATGGTACAGTTGGATTGTTCAGAACGCGTAGTGGCTATTTTGAAACGCCCACAAAGCGAAAAAAACCTAATGAACGCTACGTGGTCAATTTACATTACCCAAAACGCGTTGTGGCCGTTTTTTTCGCTCAATGGCCGTTTTCGGTCTTTGCGCCTAACATATATAATGATTTACAATGGGCCAAGAACACTCCCTTGAGGAACTTCTTTATTTATTACAAGTAGGGAAGAGTTTTTACCTCGGTTTTTACCGTAGTAATAGTTGATCATTGATACTGAACATGAATTTCCTTTTATCTTCTTTAAAATAAAGAGGCGGGATTTTTTTCAGTGCAATCGATAAATAATGAACGAAAACCCAGTAAGAATCAATTATCGTCAGTTGAATTACGGATCGACCAATAAAAATAATAGAAAATATGAATATGCTTTATCATCTCATTTGTTTAAAAGAAGCATGCTGCATTAATTAAATATACAAAATTGTCCAAATAGATCAATAGTTTCTAAACTAACGCATAATCAGAGAATTCGTTCTGTTTTATTCTAGTCAACAGCCAAAAGTTCGAGAAGATTTTTGGCGAAAGGCGAAGTTACTGGCGACCTAGGCCAAGGCAGTTTCGTGCACGTGCCAACATATTCTTAATTATTTTGCAGATATTTTTGTTGACCATTGTTGAAATAAATATAAATAAATTCATTAAAAAATTTAATTACTAAAGCTCGATTTTATTTATATAAAGAACTCAATAATATTGCCAAGTGCCGTGCATTACGAACTTGTATATGCTACAAAAAGCAAATGGTTTATTTAAAGAAACAATAGCGGATTGCAACCTAGCCTAGCATTTCTATACATACTTAATAAAGAGCGAGATATAGACCTCATTAGTATTTCAATTTGATATACTCGTACCTAGGTCTGCAACTTCTTTGTAAAAAAAACTCAACAGAAACAGTCAAATCAAAAGACTTCCAAGTGACAGAAGACTACATTCCATACACGTTAATTTCCAGAATCAGATTTTGATGTGGTTATAGCAGAAAAAGTAGAGATGCCGACATATGTATTCATAACACTTTCTTTGTCTACGGGTTTAGGGAAGGAACTGAACTGTAACGTTCAGTTCGAAACCATTTTTCCTGGCTTATCTTATGTGTGAGAGTGGCAAAAAATAACGGAAATTCTGGACTTACGGCAAAGTATTGATTATGGTTTAAGTTGAAATGAAATAAAATTCCAAGTACCTAGTAGTAGATAGTAGTTTTTTACGATAGACATGTCTGTTGCAACAGTAGGTATGTTAAATATAATATGTGGAACAGGAAATAGAGTTAAAAATATGTTGTTTGTTTTATTCCTGTGTGAAGCAATGGAAATGGAACTACTTCTTGTTGAGGTAAACACAAAGTGATAATAATAGGTCTAGTACAAAGGAATATTAAATTTTCAGAAGGTCTCGATATTGATCCGCAAATCCTTCAAATATTAACCGCCGGTCTTGTTATTTACTTATCAAACCGCCGCGTCGGGTTACAACGTAAGCCAAGCTTCTTTATAGAAGATTGAAACTGATATAATTTCTTTTTCTTTGTACGTTAATTGGACTGCCTCTCAAATAACCAATGGGCACCTACCTAATAAAAAAGGCGACGCTAATATAACGTGACCTCAGGTTTTACTATCGGGGGAATAAGTCATAAAGTAAAGACGTGAAATGGTTCTCCAATATATGGCAAAGTAGTTTCTCTGCACCACCCTCCTATTTATAGGCATTTGAAAACCATGCACTTTAAATGAATAGGTGTCTTAAAGTTATGGTAATGTGTACGGAGAAGTTGGAGCAAATGGGATAACTACGAAATGGAACTCATTTCAAATTAACACAATAAGGCTTAAGCGACACAATTTGGTTTCAAAATAAAGAGCTCCATAATTTTACATGTATCAGGATCGCGCTAATATGTTTTGTTATCACAAAGACACATTGTTAAAACTGCTGTGTTAATGTTTATCGCCGTAAACCTTAAGCCCTTCTTAAGGTTCACGGCGATAAATATTGAAACATTGTTCATAGCCGAACATCATCCAAATTGACCCATTAGAAAAAATCAATAAGAGTTCCGAGAAATTTTGCATCATTTGAAAATTCTTAAAAAGCTCAACCTATAGGCAGTTAAAATTGTTTTGTCATATATTTTTAGCGCATTTCCACAAAAATAAAAAAAAATGCGCTATTGTGGCCACTTTGTCCGTCCGTCCGTCCGTCCGTCCGCTCGTTTTGCGACGCTACTAGTTCTTTATCTTAAGAGCTATTGTTCTACTTTTTTCGCTATTTGGTTCGTTATGGTGTCGAGTCTTGTACCAAGGAAGGAATTTTTTCTGTACCGCTTACAAAAAAAGTTATTGTAAAAAAAAACAAAAAACCGTTTTTTACATGTTCCATAATTTTACACTTTTGCCGTTTATTAACGATCCTAGAGATCGTTTATAATTTTGCATTACTATCTGTCGTCTGCCTGTTGGTCTGTCCGTCTGTTCCTTTGTCTGTCTGTCCATCTATCTGTCCGTGTGAACGATAACTTTGTTTAGAAATGTTCGATCGCTTTTACATCTCCGTTAGTTATGAACTGAATTGCATGAAATTCAATATGGGCATAGCTTTAGCCATATAATACGC